TGGCATTAAGTCTGTTGCGCGATTCCACCGCCTGCTGGTTTAGAGCGTCTATGCACAAACTGAGCGAAATGAAGCTGGTATCGGTCCTGTAGTATCGGAGCACTTTTACAAGTACGAGTACGAGTTAACACACATGGTATCGGACCGATACCCGATACTGGTATCRGTACATCCCTAATTAATATTAACCTTTTTTTAAATTATTGGAACAACTACTCATCTCAAATGTTAAGTTTCTTACTTAAACTCGTTATTGCAATATTTTGCAAACGCTGGTTTTAAAAAAAGTCATGCTGATCAATCAAATTGGGTCATTTTTGCCACATACAGTATTTGCCTAAAAACACGAACCAAACGTCTTTTTTAAGTTGTGTAAAAACTTTATTTGCACCTACAGGATGATCAAAACAAATTAAAATGTAGTTTCTTTTCCTATAAGGAGTTCCTTTTATATGTTATTAAAATATATGTTTAGGTAAGATCACAGCTGAGCCATCAATGGTTGTGATCTGGTATTTTGAATAATTTATTTTCTTTCTCCAGTATGATCCTTACAACTACACAAACGACTATGACCTGCACACTGGTGAGTTCTCACATCACCTTCTGGGGACGTGTTTAACATAACGTCTGGTTGATGATAATCTGTATTCAGTAAATAAATCTGTTTACAGGTGACCCCAAGGCAGACCTGGCCTACGAGAGGCAGTACGAGCAGCAGACCTACCACGTCATCCCAGAGGTCATCAAGAACTTCCTGCAGTATTTCCACAAAACCGTCTCGGACCTGATCGACCAGAAGGTTTACGAGCTGCAGTCCAACCGCGTGTCCAGCGAGAGCATCGAGCAGAAGATCTACGAGATCCAGGACGTTTACGAGAACAGGTGAGCTCCGCTTCGTTGGGCAGCTTTAACAGGTCTGTGTCACCTTCATCAAACTCATCTTGTTTTTTTTGTTTTCATCAGCTGGAACAAGTTAACTGAACGTTTCTTTAAGACGTCCCCCTGGCCGGAGGCTGAAGCCATCGCTTCTCTCGTTGGCAACGGTGAGAGCCGATGAGTTTCTGTTGCTTTGCTACAAAATATTTCACTTAAGTTCAGTAAATGTGTCTGATTGTTGCTGAAGTTAAAGTCTAACAACAAAAACATCATATTAATGTTAATATTTGAGATATTTATTCTGATTCTCTGTTTTTTTCCACACAGACGCCGTGTTTCTCATCCTCTATAAGGAGCTTTATTACAGACACATCTACGCTAAAGTCAGCGTGAGTATCTGCACGAGTCGAACCGTTTCTCAGTAACTGACCAWCACGTGGGAACTGTTTTTATTTACTTGTAAATAATGTTTTGTGYTTTTGTTTATCAGGGAGGACCAACTCTAGAGCAGAGATTTGAGTCGTACTATAATTACTGCAACCTCTTCAATTACATCCTCAGTGAGTTCCTTCATCTCGTCTCAACCATCGGTTCATTAGTTTGTTTATCTGAATATTTGTTTGTTTGTAAACAGATGCTGATGGCCCCGCCCCCTTGGAGCTGCCAAACCAGTGGCTGTGGGATATTATCGATGAGTTCATTTACCAGGTGCTTCACTTTATAAAGTGTTGGTTAAGCATCTAAACCAGGACTATTGAAGCCCAAACCCCTGGTTTTCTGTTTTAATTACTTTTAAGTTCGTTTATCTACAAAAACGTCAGAATCTTGGCTACAAGCTGGTAAAAACCATTTCTATGAACACCCAAGACACTTAAAACTACAAGCAGTYGAAGATAAAACTATGAAAGTGAAAATAAAATTGGTTTAAAAATTGGGCAAGTCAGAGATGTCAAAATATTTTGTGGTAAATATGAGGCAGAATGTGTTCTTTGTGTTTTTTGATATTTTTTAACCCGAACATGTTTAGTATCAATAGAAAGCTAAGAATCTAAATGTACATTCATCAAACACAGTTCATGTACCAAGCTGCTGAATCAGAAAGTAAACAAACTACAAAATGACATCATTGCAAATCTGTAAATACATTACAACTAATCTGTAAATATATTACATCTAATCTGTAAATATATTACAACTAATCTGCAAAGGAAAAAAAATTAACATTTGTTTTAAAAGCAAATCAAAGTAGATACCTAAATATGTAATAAAGTGTGTTGAAAGTTTTTTTTCACTTGATTTTGAGTGAATCTGATCCAAATGAAGTCAAATATAATTTCTCATTATTTAATAAAGTATATATGGTGACAAATGCTTGGATAATTTTTCAAAAGAACAAATATTCAGTAACAAGTCTTTAATCAGGGAAGAACAAATAAATAACTTTTGGATGTAAAAACTTCAGATTTCATAACATTTTTTAACGGTACCATCATGGTCTGTCCTGTGCAGAATAACAAAATAATTTCTTTACTTAAACCTCTTTAACTTTGCTCCAGTTCATTTTAGCAGCATGAATCTTTACACAGGTGATGTCCACAAGTGGTTTTATGGTTTCCAAGAGTTTTTAGCCTGATTCATTATGGTTTTAAATGGGTTATATACTGTCTAATGAAAAAATAATTCAGGTGAGAGTGAAAAAATTTTTATGTTCCATGTAGGGTTGGGCATGATCATATCGTGTGCGATTAATCGTCAGAAAAACGTTAATCAATTTTTTTGGCACTTCACGATTAATACGATTAATATCAGTCCACTCCTCTCTGCTTCAAATATGACGAGTAACGTTGTGTAATTAATTTATCTATCAACACAATTTTAAATTTGATGTATAGCCTGAAGAAGTCCGCAATTTTGACACAATTTGTAACGGATTTTAACGAAGAATCTTTCCCACTAAATTGGTCATGTGACTAAAGGGTGACCAGGGGATTAATCCTGAAATTAATCGTTATCGTCTAAATACCACAATTAATTGATTAATGTTTTTTGGCAATATTGCCCAACCCTAGTTCCATCCTCAATATGTCTAAAATCACAGCAGCTGTTTTAATACTTCACTTCTGATGAAATCTCCCAAGTGTTATTTATTATTATTTAAGTAGAGTTTGTAAATACTGACATACACTCAGTTAGATTTCAGTGTGGGATTTAGAGAAAAAAACATCAAGAAAACCCCTCGGGGCTGAAGAGGTTAATTATTTCTACTTTATAGTAGGGGTGTAAGAAAATATCGATACACTGAAATATCGCGATATTTCATTTCCCGATACTGTACCGATATTCTAAAGCCCTGTATCGATTTTTAATTAAGGTTTAAAATGTCAACCTTCTTGCCAACCGTTCATTTT